TTTAGCATAATCATTTTGCTTAAATTTCCAGTGTGATGACCTTCTGTCAAGGTGACCACTTTCAATTCAATTGTTTTTCTGTTGCATCATGTGAACACCTCAGAGTCAGAGTGGTCACAATGTATCTGGCAGATATTTTGTTTAAACACATATTGTATTTCAATATTCCCATGAGTTGTCATAATTCTCTTTATGAGATATTGTTGTGGTCCATAACACTTGTCAATTTGTTACACAATGAATTGGAAAGTTTATTTTCATTGGTCGGTGGTCCCAAGAGAAATGGAATAAACTTTTCATAAAGTTGAATCCATAAAGTTTCTTGTTAGCTACATGTCCTTTTGGATTGACCGGATTTTTTTTTATATAAACTCTTCTCTAGTGCAATTTCTTCTCAAGCCTGATTATTTCCATGAAAGTATTCTAAATATTTCTAAAGTTTTCTTTTGATTTTATCAGGTTTCTATGCTTAGGTAAGCTTACAAATACTTTCATCAAAGTTCTTAGAATTTGTCTTTTTTGTCTACATTTGGTTACGTAGCTGATGCTTGAAGCTTGCTGAGCTTGCTAAGCTTGTTCAATCGAAGTGGATCTTCATTGCTATACCTTGAGAAGAGCTCAAGGCTGACCAGGTGGTTTTGTGTACTTGGAGTGAGCTGTGGTAGTATGTAGTTTGACCAAAGGGTAGAGATTGAAGTGTTGCAAAACATGGAGTGTTCTTGCAACTGAGGCTTAATCTTTGGCTTTGTAATTAAATTGAAAAGTATACTATAGTGGATTAGCTTCATTCTGGACTTGGTCCCATGGATGTAGGCATTTTTCTGAACCATGTAAAAACATGGTGTTCTTTATTTTGGTTCATATTTGATTGCTTTATGTTTATGATAAACGGACACTAAAATCAACTTAGCAACTCTTTCAACTTAGTTTTAATTCACTTGGTAAACTAATTAAAACTTTCAGAAAAGATGCAGATTTTATTAATCACAAGTAGAGGTGGGCAAGGGACCGGTCCCTTGCGGGCCCAGGCCTGGGCCCGTTTGGGACTGGTCCCAAATGGGACCAGTCACCCGGTCCCAGGCCCATGAGAAAAACCAAGACTTGGACCAGGCCCTAGGCCTGGTCGGGACTGGTCCCATGGGCCCAGGACCGGTCCTAGGACCAGTCCCATGGGCTTGGATTATTTTCCCCCCTCAATTTTTTTTTATATTTTGGGGGCAAAACTAAATTTTATAGGGGGTTTTTAGTATTTTTTAGGGGTAAAATTTATAAATTTTATAAATTTTTTGGACCTAGAAGATTTTTTTTTTATAAATTTTGTAAAATTTCATTTTAACCCTCGTAATTTATATTTATTTTAAAATTAATAGGGGATTTTATGTAATTTGGCAAGGAACTATATTGAAAAAATACAAAAAAATTTGGGCCCAGGCCTGGGACCGGTCCCAGGCCCGAGCCTTGGAGGAGGGCCCAGTGGAGGGCCCGGGCCCTCCTCCTTAGGCCTGGTCCCGTTTTGGGACCAGGCCTCCTAGGACCGGGTTTTGGAGCTAGGCTTTTGGGCCCGGTCCCAAATGCCCAGCTCTAATCACAAGACATGTCTAGGATTTTGAAATCACCCTCAATCACAAAAGAATTAGTTACCAATGAATAAAAATAAAAACATCATATTATTATTGATAACAAATAATAAAAAAGTATAAGAAAAACTTGGTAAAACTTGGATGGATTAATGGAGTTGATGATGATCTCCTCCAAGCTTCTTTCAATCTCTCTTCCTCTCTACATTATTGTGTATTTTTTGTTTCTCTCCATTCTCTCCATGTCCTAAACATACCTAAAGACATTTTTTTATAGTGCTAGGGTTGTGGGAAAAATAATGGGAAAGTCCTATATAAAAAAGGAGAATCAAATTCGGATTAGGCAAGATAGAGTCAATGTAGAATTAGGATTCTTGCATTGACCATCCTGTACTAAAACTAGAATATCTTCCTCTAGAAAACTCTGAATAAAAAACTGTAAAATTCTACATAAACTAGACTTCCAGATCTTCACAAGAATATATTTCACAGCTCCCAGTTTGTTTTGAGGAATTTATGGCGGCTTTGTGAATTTTCCGTCTCTTAAACACGCCTTTTCCAAACCAGAATCTGTATGCCATGGCACCAAAAGATCTTCCAATTTGAACATGAAAAGTCAGAATCTGAAGAAGTCATAAACTTAATAATTTTAGCCCTTCAATTAGGCTTCCAAATGTTCTAAGAATCATCCAAATTAGAGGTCTACAGCTCAAGTTGTCGTCGAAATATTGAAGCATACTTAAAATTGGAGCATTTTCTAGATTTCGTGTTCCATGCTAAATATGCTATATCTTCCTCATTTTAACTCCAATTCTCGAACCGTCTGTTTCCGGTAATAAAAAATTCTCTTGCCAACATCCTCATTCATCAGAATATTATTTTTAAGTTTTTATGCCCTGAAAACACAATAAAAATACCCAAGATCCCGAAAAATATATTTATGAAACAGTTAAGTTAATTCATGCAAATTAACCCCACAAATAACAGCTGACATAGAGGGCCTTTCCACTGGATTGTGCTCTACACAAAGCAAGGCCATATTAATGCATCTCAAAATTGGGTCTTTAAAACATGAATCATGTAATGTTGGATGCATTAGTTCTAAAACTGCACATTCTCTCCACAATTCCCAGACCTGGAACAAAACCGGTAAATGTAAACATTGAGATAAACATTTGTTGGTTTTAATGCATAATTAAAATAATGACACTACATTATGACTTACATATCCAGTGAGATTGAGCGGATGATCGAAATAAAAAATGTTGTTACTCCTCCTACCACTTATGATCTCCAACACTAAAACTCTGAAACTGAAGACATCAGATTTCGTAGAGAAAATGCCATCTCTAACATATTCAGGAGCCATATAACCACTAGATTTTATCCATGAAGAAATACAACCAGTTAGTATATAAACAAATGAATAATTAAGGTGCTGCAAAATTTTCTTCTTCTAACAGGGAAAATTCTTAACTTTATGATATACTCATCATGTTCCGACGATTCTATTTGTATTTGCATCAGATTCAGTTGTGGCGGATTTTGCCATACCGAAATCAAATATCTTGGGATTCATGTTTTTGTCCAGCAGTATATTGCCAGATTTCAAATCTCTATGAATTATTGTTAGTCTTGAGCACTTATGGAGATAAAGCAATCTTTGAGCAAATTCTTCAATGATTTTTTGCCCATACAAATACGAATAAAGAAATTAAAAACTTATGAAAAATTGAAATATTAGTTCAATCTCATAACAGATAACTAGCACAACATTCCACATCCATGATCACCTACTTAAATCTTGGAAATAAGGGAGAGTTGAACCTAAGAGTGTACACCTTAACCACACATCCCAATGCTCGTCCTACCACTTGAGCTACACAAGGGTGGATAATCTCAGAGAACTCTCGATAATGAAAGATCAATGAAAAACCAACATTTTTGTCATTTTTGATTTTCTAAAATTTAACTTATAAACAGGTCCAAAACCACTTTCTCTGAATTTATTTTCAAATGAGCAACTAATTGTAGCGTCCATGATATGAAACACCACATACTTTTACATGAATCTTTTGCTTCACTCATTAAGTCCAGTTAGAACTGTTTCAAGTAACATGAGAAAGTTGAGCTTTGCTTTCAATGTATAATAACAACATAAAGACATATTCTGATGAGTTTAAGGGTTGTGCTTTCCCTTGAAATTTGTTCAGAGATCCACTGTACTTTGCTTCTTTTTTTCAACTCAAATGCAAAATTAAAGCAAGCAATTAAAAATAAGGAAAACCAAAACACAAGAATTTTAAAGTGGTTTGACTCAATCAATTTAGCCTACGTCTACTATTCACTCAAACAATCCACTAAGATGAGAAAATTGCAAACTCCTTACACTATCTCAAAAAGCTCAATTACACCCTTAATAACAGCCCACAATGACTTTTTTTTAGTGTTTATTTTACACTTTTTGAGATTCTTTAAAAGTCTATTCTACTAGTCTATTTAAAGGGGAAAGTCCCCTTGCAACTCCCATTCCTAAGCAATATGGGATTCAAATTTCAAGGCACTATCCCAACATTATTAATACCAAGTCCCTACCGCCTTGACCTGAATTATCTGCAATAGGCAATAGACATGTCTCGATAGGTTAGTTAGAAAGGGTCGTTGTACAAATATTCCCAAGTACACCACTAAATGGTGGATCTTTTAGGGGTATTAAGACTATCAAATCGTAAGGTGAATTGCCTTTTTCTAGAAACAAGGGAATAGAATTATCAAGTATATCACTTTGGTTGAGTGTGTCTGTTGTTGTAGCAACATGAAAATGATCAAAAGAGTTTGGTGGATACTGTTGTTTTCGTTAGCCATTGATAATGAATCTGATAAGAAAAGATGGTACATGACAACATTGAACGAGATAGTACTCTTACATTGAACATCAAGCTTAATGAAAGCAGAGTAGCCTTTATGCGTGGCATTTTTTCCTCTCATCCGCTATCTTTAACTTTGATTCGCCAGTGCTAGAAATAATCTTTTAAGTCTAGGTTGAGCTTTTTTGAGTGTAATGAGATGACATGGTAAGTAAAATACTACATTATTGTTGGGCAAATGAAGTAATTATACACTACTCTTTCTTAGAAGAAGGTCGATCGGAGCAGTGTTTTTATTAGATTGTATCGAAACAAGTATTAAATATGTGTGTATACATCATCATGGAAATTTCAATAAATTCATAACTACATATGAATGAGATCTACCATTAGATCTTTCATTATTATAAGTGGGAAAGTTCATAGAGTCCAGTAAATGCAAGACTTGAACTAGAAATACACTGAAACAATGGCAAGAAAGGAAGAATAAAAGATAGCTTTTATTACTACAATTCACCTTACTCAGTAAATACAAAGAAAAAAGATCCAATTTAAACTAGTGGGAAGAGATACTAGAAGGCCACCGATTAGGAAAATATCTCCTGAATTCATGCTCTGCTAGTTGTGTGAGATGTGTCATAGCTACCTCATAAGTGGCTGTGTCATCACCAAGTGAAGCTGACTTCCCTAGACATATTAGCAAGATGGTAAAGTCAGAATCATGTAAAAGGATTTCCAATCTTTCTTTCATGTCTTTATCATGGATCCATTACAGATATAGTTAAGTTATTTATTGTAGTCTCTGCCCTATTTATTTTACTCGCATTGTCTACGACAATCTTTTAATGGAAAATGCAGGTTGTTTTGGAACTGGTAATTTTACTCCTTCACTTGTTAACATAGAAATAACAACTGACATGATAGGTCTGTCCCTTGGATTGTGTTTAACACAAAGCAAGGCCAAGTTAATACATCTCAAAACTTGGTCTTCACAATATGAATCATGTAGTGTTGGATTCATTGGTTCTATGGCTGCACCTTCCTTCCACAACTGCCATGCCTGTGCCAAAACCATTAAATATTAAACATTGAGATAAACAGAGGTTAGTAATTTTAACAAATAAAAATAGTAGCAGTACTATGTTATGAACTTACATATGCAACGAGGTTGAGAGGTTGACCATCATAAAAGATATTGTTGTTGGACCTCCTACCACTTATAATCTCCAAAATTAAAACTTCAAAACTGAATACATCAGATTTCTCAGAGAAGATGCCACCTATAGCGTATTTAGGCACCATATAACCACTGGATTTCATTTGTAAAGTACAACCAGTTATTATGTAAAAAAAATGAATAATCAAGTTCATTGGAGCAACAAACTTTAATTTCCACACAAATTTAAAAAAGGATTCTTAAATTTATGGTTTACTCATCGTGTGCCCACAACTTTGTTCGTATTTGCTTCAGATTGGGTTGTGGTAAACACTTTTTGTTAGAATTTTAATTATATTAGAATTCTTTAATTGGATTGGTCCTACACTTTTAATATAAAGTGAATGGGCGGTTGTGTCTCTTGGGTAGTTGTCTTTGATGGAAAGACTACTGCATTTATAAAGGAGATTTTATATGTCCCCATTTGATGCAATTAATTCATTTGATTCCCAAAACCATCGCTCTGAAAAATTGCAGTTAGTGGAAGACTCTGTATTCTGAAGTGACAGAAGCAAGAAGACTAAATCAACAATTGCTATGGCTAGAGGTTTGTAAATTACTTCTGCAATATTCCATGAGTATTTTAGATGTTTATAATTGATTATATTATGAACTTTTATATGAATGTTGCAATAGAAATGTTTTACATTTGGTATCAGAGCATGTGTTTGAATCTCTGCCTAGCATGAAATTGTTTGTTGCAAATTTGGAGAATATTGCAAAAAATTGGGCTTTTTTGTAATTAAAACCCATAATGTAAATCAAGCATAACTTTTGTTATAAATAGAATCTTTTTTGATTTTGGTGTCATTGGAATCCTTGTTGAAAAAGCTTTCCAATGATATATTATTTGTCAAAAACGGAGTTATTGTTGCAAAGTTATGCTAGTTTAAAGTTTTGGTTAAAAATTGTCATTTGGGTTTTTTTGGTAGCCATTTACAGCACCGATTTGGGACAAAAATGTCATTTGGTATGTCACCAACATAGGTTATACGTCCATATTCAAGTTTCCCCTCTAAAATGCTGGAAAAATGGTCGGAATTGGGCTGTTAAAATCTGCATAAAATGAGTCAAAAGTTGCAGAAAAACGGGTCAAGAAGAACCGGTCCAGTTGGGTAAACAGGTCAAATCGACCCAGTTAAAGGCCAAAATGGGTCAAACGACTCGGTCAAACCAGCCTAGAAACCTGATGGGTCAACCTGATTCGGTCAACATGGTCAACGACTTAGATCAGGTCAATGAACCGGTCAACGAGTTAGGCAGGTCAACGGGGTCAACGAACCAGGTAAAAGGTCAACCTGACCTGGTTGAACGGGTCAAATTGACCCGTGCTGACTTATGGCACGTGTGAGCGCGGGAAGGCATGTGTGCTTGCATCAAGGGCGTGGGGTTATGTGTTTAGGCGCGTGACAGGGCCGTTAAGGCGCGTGCAATCACGTGTTATCTTCTAGAAGCGCGTGATGGTGTGTGGAGTCACATGGCTACTCGTGGTCTTGTCACAGTGGCGCGTGGGAGTGGGTGACAGCGCGTATGATGGTTTTTATATCATGTATTACTTTGTTATGCATAAATAATGTGTTATTCTTGTATTGATTTATGTTATATTGTATTATAATAATTCACGTTATAATTATTTGATGTTTTATGATCGTATATATTTGATTAATTTAGAGTAGCCACAACATCTAAGTTATAATAATATATGCATTAAGTAATATTAATTATGAACATATTAAAGTTAATAATATCGTTTTGTAGTTAATCATATTAATATAATCATTTTACCCACAGGGAATGTTATATTTTCATGATTAATTAGGGATGAAATAAAAATTATTCTTATTTCTTAATTAGCCCACAGGTATTATGAAATATTAATAATTTCTAGTTTCATCATTAAAGGATAATGAATCATAATATGTAGTATCTTTACCCACAGGGAGATTTTATGATATGTCGATTCATTTATGATTTATTATTTGTTTTACATTGGTAAGCTTATAATCGTTGTTGATGGTTTGTGCCTCATAATTTATTTAGTAAGCATGTCTGTTGATATACCTACAGTTGATCAAACGTTGATGATGGTTGAGGATAAGGTTCCTTATGTAAATGGTGATAACTAAAAATCCTGGAGGGAGGCCATCCTTCTTCATTTAGGGTGCATTTATCTTGACTATGCTCTTCGTAAAGAAGAGCCACCTACACCTATGGATACTAGTTCTCAAGTTGAGATTGCTTTGTATGAACGGTGGGAGTGATCCAACCATTTAAGCATGATGTTTATCAAATCTCACATTACAAGTAGTATTTGTGGGTCGATACCGGAGTGTGAAAATGTCAAGGATCTGATGGATGCAATTCATGCTCAGTTTGAAACATCAGACAAGGCATTAGCACCCTAATGAGTAGATTGACATCCATGAAGCTCACCGGTATTAAAGGAGTTCGTGAGCACATTATGAAAATGAGGGACATCGTTGCTCAATTGAGATCCCTTCAGATGGTGATTAATGACGATTTCCTGGTGCATTATGTCCTGAACTCTCTCTCGTCTCATTATACTCCTTTCAAGATATCTTATAACACACAAAAGAATAAATGGTCAATCAATGAGCTTTTGACCATGTGTGCTCAAGAGGAGGACAGACTGCTTCAGGAAGTGAATGAAACTACACATCTGGTGACAGGAAATGTCAAGTACACTTTAAACAAAAATAAGAAGTGGAAGGGAAAAGGTAAGCTGCATGAGGTTACGAGCAAAGGAAATAAGGACAACATCAAGTGTTTCTTTTGTAAAAAGAAGGGACACATGAAGAAGGATTGTCCTAAAAAAAAGGTCTGGCTTGACAAGAAAGGTAACCTCACATCTCTTGTGTGTTATGAATCTAATATGATTTGTGTTTCACATAATGATTGGTGGATTGATTTTGGTTCTACAATTCATGTTTCTAGTACCATACAGGGTTTTCTGGATCAAAGGAAACCGTTGGGAAGTGAATGCAGCATCTATTCGGGAAACAGGATGCCTTCAAGTGTTGAAGCAGTTGGAACATTTAGACATATTTTAAGCACTAATTATATTTCGGATTTAGAATGAACCTTTTATATTCCTAGTTTTTCTAGGAATTTAATTTCAGTTTCTAAACTTGTACCTCGTGGATACTCTTTCAACTTTTATGGTAGTTCTTTTAATTTAATTAAGAACTTATCTATCGTTGGAAATGGTACTTTGGTTGATGTTTTGTTTAAAATTCATTTAAGTGATACTGTTCCTTATAGTCTTATGAGTTCTCATGCTAGTACTAATATTAAACGTACTGTTATGTATGAAAACTCTTCTTTTTTGTGGCATAAGAGATTAGGACACATCTCTATTGATAGGATTAAAAGGTTGGTAAATGCTGGAGTTCTTGAAACTGTTGACTTTACTAACTTTGATGCTTGGGTAGACTACATTAAGGGAAAGCAGACTAACAAATCCAAGAAGGGTGCCAGGAAGAGTTCTGAACTTTTAGAAATCATACACACAGATATTTGTTGCCCTGACATAGCTCTAGTGGTCAAAAATATTTCATCACCTTTATTGATGATCACTCACTATATATCTATATCTCTATTTGCTTTATCACAAGGATGAAGCATTGGATGCTTTCAAAATATATAAAGCAGAAGTAGAGAAACAATGTGGAAAACAAATTAAGATTGTGAGATTTGATAGAGGTGGTGAATATTATGGTAGATACACTGGTACAGGACAAGCACTTGGTCCATTTGCTAAATTTCTTCAAGAGCAAGGTATTGTGGCTCAATACACCTTGCCTTGTGCACCATCTCAGAATGGTATAGCAAAACAGAGAAATAGAACATTAATGGATATGGTACGGAGTATGTTGAGTAACTCCAAACTTCCTCATTCTTTATGGATTGAAGCTCTCAAAACTGCAGCGTATATATTAAACCGAGTTCTAATTAAGGCGGTTCCCAAAACGCATTCAAGTTATGGAAAGGTTGGAAACCAAGTTTAAGTCATTTACGCATTTGGGGTTGCCCAATTGAAGTTAGAGTTTATAATCCATAAGAACAGAAGTTAGATCCTATGGCTATTAGTGCATATTTTATTGGATATGTGGACAAATCCAAGGGATATAAGTTTTATTGTCCGAACCATTCCAGTAGAATTGTTGAATCAAGAAATACCAAATTTCTTGAAAATGACGTAGTCAGTGGGAGTGATCAAATCAGAGACTTAGTCCTTGAGAAAATTGATGTTTCAAATAATGCTCCTACATCAAGTAAAAGATTGGTTGTTCATCCAAACAGGGTGAACAATGAGGAACCACTCAATCAAAGTCCACATTCCGATGAGATTGTTTTAGAAGATCATTTTGAACAACCTCCGCTATAGGAGGAACAACCAATTGTGCAACAGTCTCAACAAAAAACTGTTGATACAACATTAAGGAGATCTACTAGAACAAAGAAATTAGTAATTCCTACTGATTATGAAGTGTATATGCAAGAGTTTGACTGTGACATAGGTGTTGATGATGACCTAGACACGTTTTTACAAGCTATGGACAGTAGTAAATCTGGGTTGTGGTATAATGTCATAATTGACGAGATGAATTCTATAACGAATAATAAAGTTTGTGACCTTGTTGAGTTACCTACTGGAAAGAAAACTATTCGTTGTAAATGGGTATTTAAAACCAAATGGAATTCATAAGGCAACATTGAGAGATACAAGGCTAGGCCTGTTGCCCAGGGGTTCATGTAATACTCCGTATTTTCTTTGTGGGTTTTACTTAATTTTATTTATGTGAATCTAGGGGGTAATATGTAAGAATTGAAACTTTTTAGAGATGTTTTAGTAAGAAATAAGGCATGGTGGGTTATTAGGTAGTTTTGCAAGAGTACTTGTGCGAAATTGGAAGTGTGAAAATCTTTTAACAACTTGTTTAGATGAGGGGTCCTTTTAATATTGTGTATGCAAGGGTACATGCATAATTCTCCAGGGGTGAGATCATGATAAAACTAACTTTATTTAAAGGATTTTGGGGTGCAAGATGTAAGAATCAAAGACTAAGGGATGCATGCATAATTGGCAATGCAAGATGGATTAAAGGCAATTTCTTTAGGAGAATTAGCCCACGGTTTTGGCACATTGTTTTGCCATGGTTGTGAAATTTTATTAATTTTGAGATGAGGAAGGGTGGAGTGGAAAAAGAGAGATAGCCGGAAAAAAAAAAAAAAAAAAAAAAAAAACGCCAAAGAGAAGGGAAAGAAGAGTGAAAGAGAGAGAGAGAGTGAGTGTCGGCTAAGTGAGGAAGGAGGAGATCTCACAAGTTTTTTCATTGGGTAACATGCAGTGATTTTAGAGTGCATACATTCACCATTCATACAGTTTGTGCATTTCTTTTTCTCTAAATTCTTGGGTGCTTCGGGTTGTTAGGTGGAGGAGAAAGGCAAGATCTTTGAGGCAGCTGGGCTTTTCGGGTTGAGCTAAATTTTTTGTGTGTGTGGATCAAATGAAAGTTTTCCTTAAAATCAGATTTATGTTTGTTTGTAAATATAGTTGGCCATTGCTTTTTGATGAGTGTTGAGCTAAAATTGAAGCTTGTGAACTTGCTTTCCTCTCCATGCTTTTGGATGAATGTTTGGTTGTTTAATTTGAGGTTTAAAATGGAGTGTATTTTGCTTGCTAACTGCATCTATTTGCATTCGGTTGATTGACAAAAATGTGACGTTGGCTGGGTATTTCAACTCATGTAATTTGGTTGGGCAACATTTTAAGAGGTGCTTGGATTGTACTTTGTTTTAAAAAGTTGGCTAGGTAAATCCACTTGCATGCTCTCGGCTGGAATGCCTTTGAGATAATTGATTGAATGGTGTCTTAACATGCTGGAAAATTAAGGTAATTTGGCTGTTAAATGTAAATGGTTATATGTATATTTAAATGAGATATTACTATAATTTTTTTACCTTTTTGTTTATTGGTTATATGTATATAGTCAGCTATATGAATAAAATGCTACTGTTGGGAGTTGAGAATTTGTTGAATTGTATATGGGTTGAGTGTGTGATGTGGTAAATAATCTTCTCGGTAAAAAGGGCAAATGGGGTGCTTTTTGTCAGTTTTGAAAGCATGCTTTAAAAACTTGCATTTTACCTATATTCCATGAAATCTCATAGTGGCATGATTTATCCTATATGAATTATTATTATTATTGCTCCTGGTTTGATTATCATGATAACGTGTTATATGAGTTTTGACTTTTAAAAGTGATATTTGCTTATGATTGTATCGGTATATGCTAAGATCGTGTGATGTGGAAGTAATTTTTAATCTGGGTTAAACTGTCAGTTTTAAAACATGTTTGGAAATTTTCAATTTCACCCCTGGATGTGATTTTTGAATGTATGTCATATATGCATGTTATTATTATGTTTGACTCCCAGATTGGAAACCGTAACCGTCCCCTCTAGACATCAGCTAGATTTGATATTACTCATGCGCGCATTGAGATGGTCCGTCCACCGAACCATTGGTATATCCTACTAGAACAAGACGGACGCCTAACGAGCTCCAGGCGGGATTACACCAGGCGGTTATTGGCCGGTGTGGGATTTTGGACGCCCTGAGGGTAGACTGTGGGTGAGATTATATTTGATACCATATCAGACACCCCAAGGTGAGATGTGGGTTGAGCATGGTTATCCAAGATGTTCGTACCATCCCGAGGGTAGACTGCGGATGGTGCCACCCCGAGGGTAGAATGGGGTGGTGTAGGTTATGTCTGAGTTAGGGACTGGTTCAGATAGTAGATCTGGCCCCTAAGTGCTAGTAAGGTGGTGATAATTGATTTATTTTATATGATAGTGGTGTGCGATTTCATGGCATCCGAGAATAATAATATATACTGTTGTTGACGTATTTGCCTTATCATGTAAGTGCACTAGTGTTGTGTGGCATACAATTATTCATACATGTTTTCAAAGTTAAAATTATTTTCGTATAAATTATATTATCCGCTCACTGGGCTTCCCAGCTCACTGTTTTATGTTTCCTCCCCCAGGATCGTAGATCGGGTTCATGTGGAGCATACTCTACGCTTTAGGTTGGCCTTGACGCATGATGATTTGCATCTTTTACAAACTTTAGTGGACTTTGATACTATGTTTCTTTTGTAACTGGATTTCAGTTCCTGTTTTTAGAATAATTATTTGTGTATTTCCACTTTCTAAACCTTAAACATGCAAATGCACTACTTTTCACTTTCGTCTATAGACGAAATTGTTTTTATGAATGTTTTTTTTTAAGAGTATTCACCTTCCTTTCGGGATCTTGAGTCTCCTGGAGTGCCCGGATCCGGTGGGATACGGATACTCGGGAAGGGGCATGACAGTTCACCCAAAAGGAAGGGATAGATTCTAAAGAAACATTTTCTCCAGTTTCTAAAAAGGATTCCTTTTGCATCATAATGGCATTAGTTGCCCATTTCGATTTAGATTTACATCAAATGGATGTGAAAACATCTTTCCTCAATGGAGATTTGGAGGAAGAGGTTTATATGAAACAACCTGATGAGTTCATTTCAAGTGATGGTGAGCATTTGTTTTGCAAGCTTAAGAAGTCCATTTATGGACCTAAACAAGCTTCCCGACAGTGGTATTCAAGATTTCACACTGTTATCTCATTCATTTGGTTTTCTAGAGAATGTCATGGATCGGTGTATATACCACAGGGTTAGTGGGAGTAAAATCATCTTTCTTGTGTTATATGTAGATGATATTCTACTTGCAACCAATGATTTGGGTTTGCTACATGAGGTGAAACAATATTTCTCTCTCAACATTTTAGTATGAAGGATATAGCCTATAGGTGAGGCGTCTTATGTCATTGGCATTAATATTCATAGGGATGGGTCTCAACATGTTTTGGGACTATCTCAGAAAGCTTATTTTAATAAAATTCTTGAGAGATTTAGGATGAAGGATTGTTTACCTAGTGTTGCACCCATTGTTAAGGGTGACAGGTTCAATCTGAACCAATGTCCTACTCTTGAGATTGAAAAGGAACAAATGAAAACTATTCCTTATGCTTCAGCTGTTGGAAGTCTAATGTATGCTCAAGTCTGTACTAGACTTGACATTGCTTTTGCAGTTGGCATGTTAGGAAGATATCAAAGTAATCCAGGTTTGCATCATTGGAGAGCTGCAAAAAAGGTCATGAGGTATCTTCAAGGAACTAAAGATTTCATGCTTACTTATAGACGGTCCAACATTTTAGAAGTCATCGGATATTCAGACTTAAACTTCGCTGGTTGTGTTGATTCTTGGAAATCAACACTCGGATATGTTTTTATGCTTGTCGGAGGTGCTATATCTTCGAGAAGTGCCAACCAATCTTTGGTTGCCACTTCTACCATGGAAGCTGAGTTTCTTTCCTGTTTTGAGGCCACTACACAAGGTATTTGGTTGAGAAGTTTCTTTTCCAGAGCTTGGAGTTGTTGAGTCTATCGCTAGGCCAATAAGGTTGTATTGTGACAATTCAGCTGCTGTATTCTTTGTTAAGAATAATAAGAGTGGAAGTCAAAGTAAACACATCGAGGTTAAGTACTTAGCAGTAAGGGAGCACATTAAAGCGAAAGAAGTGCTCATTGAACACATACATACCGAGCAGATGATTGTTGATCCTCTAACAAAAGGCATGCCACCAAAGACGTTCAAGGATCATGTAGTTCAAATGGGACTATGTCCCGCTTTGTCACTATGAGAGGTAATACTTTTATTCTCTGAAACTTTATAATTTAGTTTGTTTTCTCTTTTAAGTTGTATACATTTTGGTTGGAGACAAACAAATATTTTGGAGGACCTGGAACAAACATTTGAGGTTTGTTCATAAAGCAATATTCCACATTTAAGTGTTTATTTAGAAAGAGAAAAATTGCATAGTAATACATGGAAAGTAATACTTGTTTAAAAATGACTTACTGCTATGATTCATGTAATTTTTATTTTTCTGATTAAACACACAGAATATACAACTCCTATGTTGTGGATTATATAATAAAAGTCCAAGTGGGAGAATGTTAGAATTTTAATTATATCATAATTCTTTAATTAGATTGGTCCTACACTTTTAATATAAAGTTAATGGGCAATTGTGTCTCTTGGGCAGTTGTCTTTGATGGAAAGACAACTGCATTTATAAAGGAGATTTTATAGGTCCCTATTTGATGTAATTAATTCATTTGATGCACAAGACCATCGCTCTGAAAAATTGCAGTCAGTGAAATACTCTATATTCTGAAGTGACAGAAGCAAGAAGACTAAAACAATAATTGCTATGGCTAGAGGTTTGTAAATTACTTCCGCAATATTCAATGAGTATTTAACATGTTTATAATTGATTATATTATGAACTTTTATATGAATGTTGGAATAGAAATGTTTTACACTTTTGCCATACCAAAGTCACATATCTTGGGATTTATATTTTTGTTAGGTAATATATTGTTGGCTTTCAAGTCTCTATGTATTATTCTCAGTCTTGAATACTTTTGTAAAACAAAGTAGTCCTTGAGCTATTTCTTCAATGATGTTAAAATATTTGTTCCAATCAAACAACTTCCTTTTAGATTCATCTATTATAATGAAAAAAGAAATGTTTAAGGAATGTGTAATATAATAATCAAGCAGAATTTTCAATAATGTGAAGAAACCAAGCATAGATAGTTAAAGAAATATGCATATATACCAAAAATATATGTGTCCAAGCTATTATTTGGCATGTATTCATAGACCAATATTTTCTCTTCCCCTTGAATGCAGAAACCCAAGAGCCGCACCAGATTGGTGTGTTGTAATTTAGCTACTATTATAAGCTCATTCTTAAACCCCACAAGTCCGTGTTTGGATCTTTCTGATAGCCTCTTTATTGCTACCTCTTGCCCGTCAGGCAACAAACCCTGAACAATAATAAATAGTCATTGCTTGATATGTTAGACATAAGCCTTTTGTGAAAGCAATAATTTCCACGGTTCTAGCTCTTCCAAATATACCTTGTAAACAGGACCAAAACCAGCCTTTCCAAGTTTAGTTTCAAATGAGAAGTTATTTGTAGCAGACATAATGGATGATGCTCTATATACTTTCAAATTGAAGCCTTTCTTGCCATCAATCTCAAGCTCCTTTGCTTCACTCATTAAGTCAAATAGAAACTTCTCTGTTTGGAGATTGACATGAAAAAGGTTGATCAGCTATTGGCATTCAATCAAATTAATAAAATAGTTATTGCTTTTCATTCTATATAAGGTTAATTTGTTGTATATATTACCTTCTAGTCGAATTCTTCTCCATATAATGAAGAAAAAAATACCCACCAAGATGAGTATAACGATTAATCCAGCCACTATGGCCACAATAGCTTTTAAAACTGAAATCCTGCCCCATTTCGCTGTCTTATGCTCACAAACTTCTGCACCCAATAGTGAAATCATTTACTCATATAAAAATATTAATTTGCTATTTTAGAAAGTTTTAAATATCTTATCAGAGGGTTTATTATAATTCGTAATTATTTTTTAAGAATTTTAAGAGGTTTAATAATCCCAAGAGGACTTATAGTACGAAATTATATATGAAATTGAATAATATCCTTAAAGGTCTATAATAATAATCTTTAATCCTGGAAACTCCTAAATAAAACCTAGCTTGGATTTAATTATAGTCAAAATACAAGTATACGCTAAATGTTAAAATTGAATAACACTGGAATTCATGAGGATATAACCCTCCAATTCAACAGACGAATATCCGGTTTACAAAATAATAATATTATAAAAATAAATAATAATAATAATAATTCTCACAAAAAAGTTTTGTTTGAAATATTAATAATAGTCCATGCTAAACCGAAGAAATATAATTTTGACTAAAAACACTAAACAAGAGGTAGAGTCTGATGAATAAAACACAGTAAAAGATATATTTCTCGAAATAAAATTTTTGTTTGGTATATATATCAAAGGCAAATCGTCAAACCTGTCTGCTCGTTCTTGTCCGGAATTGAAGGAAGGGAAGAGGGATCAAGAGCTCCAGCTTGTCCATTGATTTTAAAACTCCAGCCTAAAATATATTGAGAACTAGAAAGCAGTCCTGTTGCAGAAGAGAAGCCAATATACATGAACTCATGAAAGATTGGTGAAAGATTGACGTTAAAAGACAAGAGGGGCAATCTTGGTTTGAAAGAATGTGGAGAGATGGTGACATTTAACAAATTTTCAGATGCATCGTAATCGATCCAAGCCAGGATTGGTTTTCCACTCGTGAGATTCAAGTTTTGTTTGGTTGAACTGTCATCGAAGTAGGCTGCAGCAGAAGACGCTCTAGAGATCAAGCTGTTGATATCGATGCCAACATGGTTGCCGTCGATGTAGTTAAAATCAGGAGTCTGAACTGTATCAAACTCAACAGCAAATAAATGATTTGAAGCGATTCCCTCATTGCTTTTATTAAAGAGGCGTAGATACGCAGTTGGAAGAACTTTGAGCTCTTTAGATGGTGAGATGGTGAAGGTGATGCCATGGCCACCAAGTTCTGGACACCGAGGGACGATACCTAGACCAAATGAGGAAGAGAAAGAAGAGACTTCTCCGTTGGTCGAGTTCTTGAACTGGATTTTCAAGCTATAGAAGGCTTGACCTTGTACAAGATCCCTGTCGTTTGTTAAGCGAAGAATGCCATTTTTCTCTATTTCTGCATCTCGATGTAAGCTTATGTTGGTGCACAAATCTTTGACCCTGGAAAAAAGAGTTCATTGTCATTGAGTTGGGATGATACTGGAATGGAGATAATGAGGATAGCAGAGAAATATATGAGAAAACTGGCCATGATAAGGGCAAAAGCGAAAAGAACCGGGGTGCATGAATAAAAAACTGTATAAGTATTTAAAGAGTATTTGTGAAAAGTATTTTATGAGTACTTGTTTTTGGGACTATTATCCCACACCTTGCTTACTTGAGGTTTTAGTTTAAGTCACTTTCTTCCAAATTTAAAGAATTATCCAGTACCTTTCCTTATTGTTATTAGTTGGCGGATAACTTTTCATATCCTTTGGGGTGTGAGTGATTTAAACTGAAAACTTAAGGGAGCTGTGGGATAATAGTCATCGTTTCTTTTAACGAGGAAAGGGTGGAAGAAACATACAGAGAAATAGACATCCTATGTTTTTAATCACAATTTCACATGCTAGTCTATATGACTATCGGAAAACATAAAAGACACTCATAATTTGCGTTTTGATTTGGTTGCGAATTGCAGTATCAGGCAGTGTGGGGCATGCAGCATAGGGAATATTTTTTTTCAAAAAATGTTGCGATTTCAATCACTTTAAAATAATGTGTGTGATTGAATGTAACCTGAGACGAAACTTCCGGTAATGTTTACAGGTTATAATATTTAACTCAGTCGATCGTTGATCATTATACGTATTAGTGACACCATCAATAGCTCTACTACGGCCCCATAATACGGGGATGTCCAAATTACTGGTATTAATAAATGCTTTATTCATGGTAAAAAAAAAAAAAATCTTTAACATAAATATAGATGTTTGTTATCGTTTACTTGACTTGGAATTAACTAAGGTCAAATTAAGGAGCTCTATCAAATACTTCATGATTTTTTTTTTTATATATTTTTATACCATTTTTAATCAATCACCCCCTAACGTGTGACATATTTATTAAATTTATGCACATAATCAATACTTTTACATATTAAATAAATAAGACAATTGACATAGAGAAAAAATTGAGCAATGTTCAGTGATTGTCATATTTTATATTTGAATATAAAAGTGATAACTATATTAGTAAAATGGTCATTTCAGTCGCTGAATTAAACAAATACTTCATGCGTGGCATTTTTGCCATCGTTTTCGTGCATTATTTTCAATGAAGTTCTCCAGCTCATGCATCCAACCCTTAACCTTCACCAACTCCTCCCATTTTCTACACCTTTTTAGCATTATTCAAACCCAAACTTCTTCAAACACAATCCAACCACAAAATGAACCTTAAAATACACATTTTACATGACCCTGGCTTTCATCAATGTAATGAAACTTCACTGACGAAAAGATGAGAGAGTTTGTTTTGTTTTAGGATTCTTTGGGTTTTATATGAAATGCAATTTTTTTTTTTTTTTAGAATATATAGGAGGGTTATTTTTTGAGACACTTTTAAGAACAAGTTATTTTTCAATTGACACCCAACAAGAGGTTATTTAATATAATTTCCGATTAAAAAAAATCAGCGACTACTACAAATTTGTTAATTTCATAAAAGATGGATTAGTAATTGAACCCCATCAAAAAAAAAATTTCTAACTTCCACTTTCCTAGTTTCAATAATTTTTTTTTTCCAATAAACTATCTTAAAATCATTATCTTATACTATTGAGAGACTAGTACCTTGACTTAATTATCTTAAATTAGAAGGTTAAAGTTGTTGGGGTGCTACATATATTTTATCTAATTTATGTTTTTTACATTAATATTAGATACGGGCGTTTAGCCCACTTGGTAGGGGACCTGCGTGAACGGTGCGAGAATTCCCGGAAACTATTAGGGATCGTGACAGGGTCGGGTCACGAAAATTCTTCTGCCTTGGGGATAGAGGTAGGCCTCGCCCTGGCCCATTACTTAAAATATATTCTTATGTATAAGGATAATTGATATATGTAATCCAAGTAATAATGATTTACCACAAATTTTACCCTTTCTTAATTGTTTAAAATCATAGTTCTAATTTTTAAAAATCACAATTTAAGTTCACTGTGCCAAAAAAAATATTTCGATATTGAATTTCCATTAATTCTTGTATAAAAGATAAAATAGCTCTACATAAATACGAAATAAAGTAATTAAAGGTCCATTTAGAATATTAAGTTAAATATTTAATACAAATTTAATTAAGACTGATAATCTATCTTAATCTAATGGTAGAAGTTATATATTTTTGATGTCATCCATAAATCATATTTTAAACACTAATTTTTTATATTTTGTAGATTAATTTCTCTCGATATCTTTACTGATTAGAAAAATGTTAAGTGCATTGAATGACATTATTTTCATAGCTATTAAGAATTTATTAGATACCACCTCTAACACTCATTATGTATTGTTTCCTTGCCATAAATTTACTCATAAGACAAAATTACTCTTTACAAATAAATTTATAAATAAAAATGATACAAAGGGATTTTCATTTTGTATACTAACTCTTCGACAAAGTTTGGTTACAACTTGTCTTATATATATAATCATAAGTAAGTTAATTCATTAATTTTTTCCAAGTCGTGTTAAGAATAATAAACTATCATATGAATACTATACATGAGTTATGATATGTTTAATTAATACATACCTAAAAAAAGATTAATTTTAAAGTAGTATAGCTATAAAATTTAAAACACTTGAATCATCCACAAATTATTATGACATAATACATATGAAAGCAAAAAAAGAGAGATTAAACCATAAGTTATACAATAATCAACAATAAAAGACCAATGTAATAAATAAATGGAGGATTCTTATATATACTCAAAAACTTTGTTCTTCATCTTGTAAAGATTCTGTAAATTTAAAATTGGTGATTATTATTAATTAAGTAATTGACTAAATGTTAATTTATATGACGTTACATTTAAAAAAAAAAACAATAATAACAAAAAGAGATTTTTTCAAAAAAAATAAAAAGAGATAATATTATTTTAAAAACAATACTAAAATACATAGGGTGACTATTTATTATACTATATAATGAATAGTTTGTGGCATGTAAGATGATGACAGTATATGAAATTTAAATATATTATATAATTGGAAATAAATTTAAAGAGTATTATTTATTCAAAATGAGTCCACCCATAAATTCTTGGATTTCCAATAGGAGCCCAGTTGCGTTTAAGGCCAGGCCTGTGGAAAAGTTGAAACCCAAATCTGTAATACCTGTAACCTGCAAAGACCCCGTTGACCCTTCGGTTGACCCCGTTGACCTAGGCGGGCCGGGCCGGGGATGGGAGTCACCACTAGGGGTGAGCGGGTCCTTTATACCAATAGGAGCCCAGTTGATGATAGTTTTGTTTCCTTCCCGGCGCCCATCCCTAAAATTTAATATTAAATCAGACTCTCCCCAGTTTAGTAAGATATTTGAGAAGATTTCAATTCACTGCCCCTGTTAATTCCAATAACTTCTAGATTTATGTTGTTTATACTATTTTTTTATTTATTATTTAAAATTGGTTATGATAATATTATTTGTTGTATTGTTTTTTATTGCATCTAAGTAACTAATTTTTAATCTTAAGCATGTGTAATATAAAATATGAATTAAGAAATAAAAAACTTATGAAAAATAGATATATTAGTTCAATCTCAGAGTAGGTGACTAGCAAAACATTCTGCCACCATGATCACTTACTTAAATCTTGGAGGCGAGGGAGATTTAAACCTGAAACTGTACGCCTTAATCACACATCCCAGTACTTGTCCTACTACATGAGCTACCCAATGGTGTATAATCTCATAGAACTTTCGATAATTAAATGATCAATGTAAAACCAATATTTTTGTGTTTACCACTTTCTCCTAATTTGTTTTCAGATGAGAAACTATTTGTAGCGTCCAGGATGGATGAAACACTACATACTTTTAAATGAATCTTTTTACTTCACTCATTAAGTCCAGTTGGAACTTCTCTGCTTCAAGTATCTACATACTAGAAAGCCACCGATTAGGAGAAATATTTCCTGAATTCATGCTCTGCTAGTTGTGTGAAGAGTGCAGCTACAGCTTAATTCCAAGTAGGACTGTGAGGTGTGTCATAGCTGCCTCATAAGTGACATATTAGCAGGACGGTAAAGTCAGAATCATGCAAAAGGATTTCCAATCTTTCTTTCGTGTCGTTATCGCGGATCCATTACAGATATAGTTAAGTTATTTATTGTATTCTCTGCCCTGTTAATTCCACTCGCATTGTCTACAACAATCTTTCTTTCAATGGAAAATGTAGGCTGTTTTGGCACTGGTAATTTCAGACCTCAGCTTTTGTTGGGATTGTTTTTGGTGTAGGTAATTTTACGGACTAGTTAGCTTGCATCTCAAGAGCTGCATTGGCATGCATTCTTTCAAGTCTAGCTTCATGGTTCAGGAGAAGGGTGTAAGCTTCTTGGAGTGAAGGTGTTCTTCCTAGGGAGATTGATGGCCACAACAGTTTCATACTCAATACCTAATCCTTATAGAATTTGTAAGACAAGATCTTCATCACCATAGTCTTTCATTTTATTGAAGTAGTCTGTAATGTTCAGTTGCCCTTGTGTTTTACAATTGCATTTTGAGGTGTAAAACTCTGGATTGAGACTGAGATGCAGAGAAGTTTTCCAAGGCAAGCCAAACCTCATAAAAGTAGTTGCACTTGGATATCTTCCTCAGAATAGTATCAGAAATAGATGACAGCAACCATCCGAGTAAGGTTTGGTCCCCTTTTTTCCAGATTTCATATTCTGGATTTTGAACTCTAATAACATTTTATGTTCTTCGATTTTGTGTAATAAATGGATTTAGCATAAGCCTTGTTCCATCAATCAGGCACTCCAGATCATTAGCTTTGGTTGGAGGTATGACTTGAGTTTTCCGGGTTTTGAAATTGTAAAGTTCTAATTTTATTGGAACTGTGAAATTAAATGAAGGTGAGGAAAAATTGTTTTGAGATGATGCTGATGAAGCATTTGCATTAGTGCTATATTATGCTATTTTGATTCGAACCTGCTCTGATAACAAGTTAGTTTTTATACTTTGGTTATCAAAAGAAAATATGCAGAGTTCATGAACAGAAAATTGAGAGTAAAAACCCAGAACATTAGCACTCAGAACTTTAACTTTTTCATATATCTTAGGAATTAATATATACACTGTTTTTACAAAAGAGATGAGGTAAATTTCCACCAAACTTCCTACAAGGAACATCAAGGATTCTTTTATGTTTTAGGTGAGTTGTCCTTGTACAGCTCATGTAACAGATTTGCTTCTACATTGCAATGTGATCATCTATTGCTATGGCTTGGTGTTGTTCTCTGATTGAGCTGATTGGATGCCAGGTGTAGACTGATTGCTAGGTCAAGGTGTTACTCCTTTCCTTCTGTATTTTCATAATAACTCATTGCTTAGCATCTAATTAACTGCCTCTCTACTAGAAGATAAAGAGTTAGAGTTCTTAACTCTATGCTTTACTTACCGTACGTGTGTGCCTCCATTTCTATTTGAAGACTTTTGATCCAAGAGAAGAAATGAAAGCTAATACAGCAGAGAAAATTCACAGAATCTAAGTTTGAGAGAATTCGAATGAATTTTCATGAAGTTATAAAATGATTAGAAGCAGAAATGACTGTTACGCGTGTTTAGTGACTTCCTGAAATGTAAACTTGGGATTATATACTTTGTAAGTTAAAAAAAATTACGTTTTCTTAAAACATATAATTGTATCGATAATGAAGTTCAATCATTCAGATACCAAAACAGGTATAGATAGAAATAGTGTTCTATTTATTAGATTTGAAGGAAAAAATTCTTAAAATGTGTAAACATCCTCATGGAAATTCCAACTATTTCATAACTGTATAAGAATGGTTTTCATTATTATGAGTTGGAAAGCTTCTCTTAGGATCCCACCTTGAGAGGGGAAAAGGGTGGGTATGTGGTTTATAAGGAGTTGGACGCTCTCTCTTGACAAACCGATTTTCTAAAGAGAGTTATATCTAAGTCCACAAAAGGCCACTATTAATCCAATTCTATCAATTTGAGAGTGAGTTCCTATCAAAAGATATCAAAGTCAAACCCTAACCCATGTTCTAGAAGGGGCAGCCTGGGAAAAGGCTACCTGAGAATCATAGCTAAACCTTGCTCAAGCCCATGTTTCAGAAGAGGTGACTTGGGAGAGTAGGCCAAGAGAGAAATGTCATAAGTGGCCTTGCTCAAGCCCATGTTTCTGAAGAGGTGACCTGGGAGAGTAGGCCAAGAGAGAAATGTCATAAGTTGCCCAGAGTTGGCCACCAGAGTGGGCCAACATGGGGCCACTTGGGAAAGGCCGAAAGGGTAGCCTGGGAGACTAGGCCAAGAGAGAAAGGTTGTAAGTGGCCCAAAGTAGGCCCCCCAGAGTGAAGTTGTCCAAAGTGGTGCAACGTGGAAGTTGGGTCTCAAAGCGTATGAGAATCTTAGGATCCCATCTTGAGAGGGAAAAGGGGTGGGTACGTGGTTTATAAGGAGTTATGCGCCTCCCTTGGCAAGCCGATTTTCTAAAGAAATTTATACCCAAGCCCACAAAAGGATTACTGTCCAACCCAATTCCTATCAAAAGCTCACTGCCTAGTCTAATTTCTATCAATTTGGAAGTTGGTCCTAATCCAATTCTTATCAAAGACCCACTGTCTAATCCAATTCTTATCAATTTGGAAGTGCATTCCTATCAGCTTCACAAATAAATGCAATATTTAATCAGAAAAAAATTGAAAGAGAATGAATCCCTCTTATTACTGATATTCTCCTTACTAAGGAATATAAAAAGAAAAGAAGTCGGATTTACACAACTTAGGAAAACTAATTACCCGAGTCACTCCCTATTCTCCTGTCAATAGAACCTCATACTATAAGCTATCATGTCTGCTCCATTAGTCCTTGAGTCATCACCAGTTGGAGCTGACTTGTCTTGACACATCAACAGGTTGGTAAACTCATTTATTTCACTTTCTTCCATTGGCAGTAATTACTTCTGCAACGTCCCATATCAATATTATGCCTGCTTCGCCCTTCAGTGCCTGCAAGACAACAATTAAATTAGCAAATAGGGCCACAATTTCATACCCCGAAAATATATGTTATCAAACATTATTATTGTAGGATATATACAAGTATTTATGTAAGAAAAAATGTACTTGACCAAGCCTTCATCGTGGATCCATCTCAGATATAGTTAAGTTATTTATTGTATTCTTTGCCCTATTTATTCCACTCGCACTGCCTACGATAATCTTTCTTTCAATGGAAAATGCAGGTTGTTTTGGCGCTGGTAATTTTACACCTTCACGTGCTAATAACAAAGAAATAACAACCAAAAAATTAGGCCTGTCAATTAGATTGTGCTCAACACAAAGCAAAGCCAAGTTAATGCATTTCAAAACTTGCTCTTCACAATATGAATCATGTAGTGTTGGATTCATTAGTTCTATGGCTACACCTTCTTTCCACAACTGCCATGCCTGTGTCAAAACCATTGAATATTAAACATTGAGATAAACAGATGTTAGTAATTTTAACAAATAAAAATAGCAACAATACTACATTATGAACTTCCATATGCAACGAGGTTGACCATCATAAAAGATGTTGTTGTTGGACCTCCTACCACTTATGATCTCCAAAATTAAAACTCAAAAACTGAATACATCAGATTTCTCAGAGAAGATACCACCTATAGCGTATTCAGAAGCCATATAACCACTAGATTTCATTCGTAAAGTAGAACTAGTTATTATGTAAAAAAAAATTAAAAAAAATGAATAATCAAGTTCATTGGAGCAACAAACTTTAATTTCCACAAACATTCAAAGAGAAGTTCTTAAATTTATAGTTTACTCACCATGTGCCTCCAACTCTATTTGTATTTGCTTCAGCGTGAGTTGTGATAAACACTTTTATCATACCAAAATCAGATATTTTGGGGTTCATATTTTTGTCAAGTAATATATTGCTAGCTTTCAAGTCTCTATGAATTATTCTCAGTCTTGAATACTTATGTAAATAAAGTAGTCCTTGAGCTATTTCTTCAATGATGTTAAAATATTTGTTCCAATCAATCAACTTCCTTTTAGATTCATCTGTTATAATGAAAAAAGAAAGGTTTGAGAAACGTGTAACATAATAATCAAGCAGAAGTTTCAATAATGTGAAGAAAGCAAGCATAGATAGTTAAAGAAATAAGCATATACACCAAAAATATATGTGTCCAAGCTTTTATTTGGCATGTATTCATAGACCAATATTTTCTCTTCCCCTTGAATGCAGAAACCCAAGAGCCGCACCAGATTGGTGTGCTGTAATTTAGCTAAAATTATAAGCTCGTTCTTGAACTCCACTAGGCCTTGTTTGGATCTTCCTAATAGCCTCTTTAGTGCTACCTCTTGCCCATCAGGCAATAAACCCTGACAATAACAAATAGTCATTTCTTGATATGTTAGACAGCCTTTAGTGAAAGCAAATATACGTTGTAAACATGTCCAAAACTAGGGGTGAGCGGTTCCGGGTACCCTGCACTTTTCCGGAGAACCGGAACCGGAACCGCACAGTACAGGTTCCCAAAAAAAGGAACCGGAACCGGAACCGCACAGTACAGGTTCTTCAATTCAAGGAACCGGAACCTAAAATGCAGGTTCCGGTTCCTTTCCAGGGTACCCTGTAAAAAATAAATTACCCCCCTATTAGTTTAAAAAATAACAAAAATACCTTATAAGTTTACAAATACACCCCTAACAAATTTTCGTTATTCATCATTTGTGTCCAATGTAACTCATAACCTGTAATCTCTAAGCAACGCTTGAATTAAATCAATATCACAATTCACATAAAATTCGTCAATCAAAACCAAACACAAACAATTATATCACAATTCACATAAAATAACTTCACAAAATCATTTAAACAAACAACAATTCTTAATACTAATTACTAACATTGCCATTTGCCAGGGTCTATTTGATAGTTAATAAATATAATGTTTATAAATTTATTAATTTAATGTTATAATTGGTTAATGGATATTATAATTACCAATATAATTTAGTAAATTTAATATTAGAAACAAATAATGTATAATTAAATAAGTGATCATACTACAATGTAAATTGTAATGTATAATTAATTAAGTAATATAATTTAATTATAATGTAATTATAATTAATTAAATTGTTAATCATTATTAAGTATAATATTGTTTATATAGAATGTTATAATTAATTAAATAACATACCCTAAATTTATAATATAATGTTATAATTAATAAATTATAATAATCGATTAAATATTGTGCAATTAGTAAATTACTAATGTTATAATATAATGTCATAATCAATTAAGTAATCATTAATTATGAAATGTTATATTAATTATATGATCATACTATAATAGTATAATGTAATGTTATAATGAATTAAGTAATCATACTACAAATCTATAATTAATATTATAATTAATTAATTTCAATCATTTAATTAAGTACTAATGTTTATAATGGAATGTTATAATTGATTAAATAATCATATTACAAATATATAAAGTAATGTTTAATTAATAAATTTTTAATCGTTTAATAAGTAATGTAATAGTATAGTAAATTACTAATGTTTATAATGTAATGTTATAAATCATAACTAATTAAGTAATTATGCAATCATTTAACTATATAATGCTATAATTAAGTAAGTGATCATAATATAATGTAAATAATAATATTATAATTAATTGAGTAATTATTTATATAAGTAATGCTTAATTAATGTTTATAAGGTATGTTATAATTAATTAAATTTCTTATCATTTAATTAAGTATTGTGCTAATGTTTATGTAATAAATTAGTAATTACTAATGTTTAAATATAATATACATAACTCATAATCAATTAAGTTTATTAATTAGAATGTATATTAATATATGATCATACTATAATAGTATAATGTAATGTTATAATGAATTAAGTAATCATACTACAAATCATAATTTAATATTATAATTAATAAATTTCAAATCATTTAATTAATATACTAATGTTTATAATGGAATGTTATAATTGATTAAGTAATCATATTACAATATATAAAGTAATGTATAATTAATTAAATTTTAATCGTTTAAAAGTAATGTAATAGTATAGTAGATTAACTAATATTTATAATGTAATGTTATAATTATAACTAATTAAGTAATTATGTAATCATTTAACTATATAATGCTATAATTAAGTAAGTAATCATAATATAAGTAATATAATAATATTAATTTAATTGAGTAATTATTTAACTATAATGTAATGCTTAATTAATGTTTATAAGGTAATGTTTATAAATTAAATTTCTTATCATTAATTAAGTATTGTGCTAATTTATGTAGTAAATTAGTAATTACTAATGTTTAAAATATAATCATAACTCATAATCGATTAAGTAAATTTAATTATGTAATGTATATTAATTATAGATTATACTATAAATAGTATAATGTAATGTTATAATGAATTAAGTAACATACTACAAATTATAATTTAATTATAATTAATAATTTCAAATCATTTAATTAATATCTAATATTATAATGGAATGTTATAATGTTAAGTAATCATATTACAAATATATAAAGTAATGTTATAATAATTAAATTTTTAATCGTTAATTAAGTAATGTATAGTATAGTAAATTACTAGTTTATAATGTAATGTATATTCATAACTAATTAAGTAATTATGTAATCATTTAACATATAATGCTATAATTAAGTAAGTAATCATAATATAATGAATATTATAATATTATAATAATTGAGTAATATTACTTATAATGTAATGCTTAATGTTTATAATGAAAGTTTATAAGATAATGTTATAATAATTAAATTCTTATCATTCAATTAAGTATTGTGCTAATGTATATAGTAAATAGTAATACTAATGTTTAAAATATATATCATAACTCATAATCAATTAAGTAATTATTTAATTATGTAATGTTATATTAATTATATGATCAATTATAATAGTATAATGTAATGTTTAATGAATTAATAATCATACTATAAATCTAAATTTAATATTTAATTAATTAAATTTCAAATCTTTGATTAATATACTAATGTATAATAGAATGTTTAATGATTAAGTATTATTATAAATATATAAGGTAATGCTATAACTAATTAATTTTTTAATCGTTAATTAAGTAATGTATATAATAGTAAATTAGTAAATTACTAATGTTTATAATGTAATGTTAAAATTCATAACTAATTATGTAATTATGTAACATTTAACTATGTAATACTATAATTAAGTAGTGATCATAATATATAATGTAATATAATAATATTATAATTTAATTGAGTAATTATTTAACTATAATGTAATGTAATTAATGTTATAATGAAAGTTTATAAGGTAATGTTATAATTAATTAAATTTCTTATCATTTAATTAGTATTGTGCTAATGTTTATGTAGCAATTAGTAATATTAATGTTTAAAACATAATATCATAACTCATATCAATAAGTAATTATTTAATTATGTAATGTTATAATTAATTATATTATCATACTATAATGTAATGTTATAGTGAATTAACTATTAAATAAATACTATAAATTTTTAATGTATATTATAATAATAAATTTTTAATCATTTAATAAGTTTGTACTAATGTTTATAATAAGTCATTAATTAAGTAGTAATCAATATGTAATGTATAATTATATTAATATAAATCAATTAAGTAATGTTAAAAATTAAATTAATTAAGTAATCATTTAACTATAATGTAATGTTATAATTGATTAAGTATGATATTAAATAGAATTAAATTTATTAATGTTTATCAATTATCATATATAATTAATTAATTACTAATTTATTATAGTATACTTAGAACTTGATATTGAAGTAATAACTAATATATATTACTCAATCAAATATAATATTTATTCAAAAATAATTCTTTTAATAACATTAAAAATGAAAACACTTTTAATTGGATCTAATTCCAATTATCACTTAATTGATCAAAACTTAATATTAATGTATTATAATATATTAAAGCTTTTAATATGGTGTAATTTATATGTAATAAGTATAATTGTATTCATATATTTATTTAATAGGTTATTCTAAAAATTTAACTTTTTCTATTTTAAATTTTTTATATGTAAAATAATAGAAACTCCCCATTATTTACATTTCACAAATATTTCATTATAGTCCAGGTTCCAAAATAGGTTCTAAACAGGTTCCAAAACAGGTTCCAATATAGGTTCCAAACAGGTTCCAAACAGGTTCCAAAACAGGTTCCAAAACAGGTTCCAAACAGGTTCCAAAACAGGTTCCAAAACAGGTTCCAAACAGGTTCCAAACAGGTTCCAAATAGGGTACCCCCTACAGGTTCCAAACAGGGTACCTTTTTACAGGTTCCGGTCGGTTCCGGTTCCGGGGGTAAGAAACGGAACCGAACCGCACAGTAGCGGTTCCAAAAAATTGGAACCGGAACCTACCCGCACAGTACAGGTTCTGGGTAGGTTCCGGTTACGGTTTCGGTTCTTACCCCCGGTTCCGGTTCTACCCACTACCCGTGCTCACCCCTATCCAAAACCACCCTCTCCAAGTTTAGTTTCAGATGAGAAATTATCTGTAGCTAGCAGAATGGATGACACTCTATATACTTTCAAGTTGACGCCTTTCTTTCCATCGATCTCAAGCTCCTTTCCTTCACTCATTAAGTCAAACATAAACTTTGCTGTTTGGCAATGGAAAGGAAAAGGTTTGATCAGCTTGGCATTCAATAAAATATTTAATCATATTTATTTGCTCTTCATTCCATATATATATGGTTAATTTGTTGTATATATTACCTTCTAGTCGAAATGTTCGCCATCTAATAAAGAAAAAGATACCCTAGACGAGTATAAAGATTAATCCAACCACTATAGCAAGTGAAATCCCTGTCCATTTCAGTATCTTAGGAATTGTAGCACCCAATAACAAAATCATTTACTCATATAAAAATATTGTCTTGATCCGTTTCTTTGACCATTTTTATTTACTCAATTAAGTTTGTATGTAGTAAGATACAGAAATTAAAATTACAATATTTTTTCATTGGGTTCTCATCAAACTCAATTATTTTACCTAGGCATTTAATTCTATCCACATCAATTTACTATTTTAGAAAGTTTTAAATATCTTATTAAAGGGTTTTTATACTTCGTAATTAGTTAGGTTTAATAATCTCAAGAGGATCTATAGTACGAAATTATATATGAAATTGAATAATATCCCAAAGAGGGTCTATAATAATAATAATATTTATTCCTAGCAACTCCTAAATAAACCTAGCTTGGAGCTAATTATACTCAAAATACAAGTATACACTAAATCTAAAATGAAAACAAGTGAACAAGGGACAGTTAATCCATTTTATAAATTATAAAGAGGATGAGTACTGAAATTCATGAGGAAATAACCCTCCAATTCAACGGACGAATATCCTGTTTACAAAATAATAATAATAATTCTGTCATAAAAGTTTTCTTTGAAATATTAATAATAGTCCATGCTAAACTGGAGAAATAGAATTTCGACTAAAAACACTAAGAAAGAGGTAGATTCTGATTAATAATAATCCTTACTAAGGACTTGTTAATTTGATTTTAGGTTTGTTGTTTTTCAAGTGAACACACGGTAAAAGATATATTTCTCGAATTAAAAAGTTTTTGTTTGGTATTTGTAAATACTTTATTGCTAACGCTACTTTATGAAATATTTTATTGATAGATATTTTGTTTTTTCAAAAAGGAAACCAAGCAGTGGCGGGGCAAAGAAATTGTACTGGTGGGCCTAAAGCAAAGGTCGACAACTAAAAAAGGCGTTGCCGCGTTCTACTTCTACAGTTTTGTAAACATTACTATTCGATATTCAAAGGCAAATCAACAAACCTGTCTGTTTTTTCTTGTCCGGGATTGGAGGAAGGGAAACGAGATCAAGAGCTCTAGCTTCTCCATTGATTTTAAAACTCCAGCCTAAAATATAATGAGAACTAGCAAGCATTCCTGTTGCAGAAGAGAAGCCAATATACATGAACTCATGAAAGATTGGTGAAAGATTGACGTTAAAAGACAAGAGAGGCAATCTTGGTTTGGAAGAATGTGGAGAGATGGTGACATTTAACAAATTTTCAGATGCATCGTAATCGATCCAAGCCAGGATTGGTTTTCTACTCTTGAGATTAAAATTTTGTTTCGTTGAACTGTCATCGAAGTAGGCTGCAGTTGAAGAGACATTCGAATTCAAGCTGTTGATGGCGATGCCAACATTGTTGCCTTGCATGTCGTAAAGCTCTTGAGATTCAACATTGTTACTTTGAACTGTATCGAACTCAACAGCAAATAAATGATTTGAAAAGTTTTTCACATTACCAAAGAGGCCTAGGTACTGACTTGGAAAACCTTTGAGGTCTTTAGATGTTGAGATCGTGAAGGCGAGGCCTTGGCCACCAAGTTCTGGATATTCAGGGACAATAACTAGAGCAAAAGAGGTGGAGAAAGAAAAGACTTGTCCATTTGTGGAGTTCTTGAACTGGATCGGCGAGCTATAGAAGGCTTGACCTGGTAAATAAGAGGTATCGTTTGTTAAGCAAAGAATGCCACTTTTCTTTATTTTTGCCTCTCGACGTAAGGTTATGTTGGAGTTCAAATCTTTGAATCCCGGATAAAAGAGTTTATTGAGTTGGGATGATACTGGAGTGGAGAGAAACAAGAGAGCAGAGAAATGTCGTTTACTCTTAATAATATAGATATAGTATACATTAATTTGTTTTCTTTTTCGTCTTCCGTAATTCTTAAATTCTGACTCAGAAACAAAATTTTCTTTTGAACGGTTTTAGAAAATATTAGCAAGACCCTTAAAGTATGAGAAGTCACCTAATTTATCTGAGATTTGACAAAAGCATCATTTACCTCCCTAAAATTTGAGCGAGGTAACAAATTTCCTTAAACCTCAGGAGAGATAAAAGACAATGGACGGACGAGAAAACCCGACCAAAATATTAAAGCTATAAGATTTCATGCCCGAGAATTTTCAACGAGAGTTTTCAGTGATTAAAACGTTTCGCTAGCGGTCAGAGTTTCAAACTAGCATTCCCTGATGATTCACGCAAAATCTTAAATATCGTATGTGAAATGTCGGAATTTTCCCTTTATCCGTAGTGACGTGTTATGTCAACTCTTCTTTTTCACGTGTTATCTCTTAATGAGTAAATTACTAATTAGTCCCCGCCAGTCCACAGACTCCACACCTAACAAAAAATAAACAATATAAGTATGTAACCTTCCTGATGAACTGATTAAGACTACACCGGCAAAATGGGGATTATACCCGTGGGTGCACCCGTATCCATGTATTTCAAATAGGTACAGGTTAATATATTTAGGGGGCGTTTGGTTCAAGGAATGTTGGATTACTGGAAAGATAGATTACCTTGAAGATTACTGGAAATCTTTAGAAAAATATGTTTAGTTAATTGGTGGGTATGTTATATTAATATGTTTGGTTGGGAGGAATAAATTGGTGGGTATGTTATTTAAATTACTGAATTGTCCTCTAATTAAATAATATTATTATATTATTTTTTAGATTATTATAACCCCTCTATATTTAAAAAATTAGCAAAAACAATCTCATAATAAAAGTTTGAAAAATTAACAATGCACCCCCACCAACCAAGCCACTGTCGGCCGCCGGAAACCACTGCAGACCGTTGGCATCCGGTAACCTAACGGCGCACAGAAGGCAGGAAATGGCCTCCGTGCACCGTATGGCCATTTCCAGCCAGAGATCTGGCCGGAAATGGCCACAGACGTTGCTGTTAACGACCATCGATCTGGCGGCCAGATCGACGACAGATCTGGCTGTTAATGATCAGATTGGTCAATCTGGCCGTCAATCTGGTCGTCAACGACCAGATCGATCGATCTGGCAATCAACGGCTAGATTAGATCTGGCCATTAATGGCCATATCGACGCACGGCGGCTATTTTCAGCCTTCCGTGCACCGTTCCGATGGTTAGCCACGGCGGTGGTTGCCGACAGCTGGCTGCAGCTAGTGGTTGGAGGTGGTGGCCTGGGTAGGTTGTAATTTGTTTTGAATTTAAGGGTATTTTTGTCCAAAATTTGAATTAATTGGGGTGAAATAGTAAAAGCTATATTCACGTAAATAAATTCAAAAATAAGGGCATTATTGTCCTAAAATTTTATTAATAAGGGATAGAATTGTAACAAAAAAAATAACCCCGGTAATCTTAGAATACCTAAGAAAATGGAGGTAATCAGATTACCTTCAATATTACCAATAGTAACCACGATTGGTATTTGCAGATTACCGGTATCTTACATTATTTAACCACCAAACATGGTAATCAAGTAATATAAGTTTACACCTTCTATCGGCCTAGACCGATTTATAAGTTTACACCTTCGATCAGCTTAAACCGATTCATAAGTTTACACCTTCGATCAACCTAGACCGATTCATAAGTTACACCTTTGATCAGCCCAGACTGATTCATAAGTTACACCTTTGATCAGCCTAGACCGATTCATAAGTTTACACCTTCGATCGGTCTAGACCGATTCATAAGTATATACCTTCGATCGGCCTAGATCGATTTATAGATTTACACATTCAATTGGCCTAGGCCGATTGAAGGACTTGCACCTCAAATCGACAAGTCATCGACCCAATCCACACAACGATCCATCCGACCTAACATGCTGCTATCACTAATCCGTTCAGTCTGCACTCATTCGATTAAATCTACTCTCTAAGCTAAATAATCTTTAACTTAGAGAGTGGAAGGCTAACTGTTAGGGCCAAAAATCATCTTGAGCCTGACAAGGCCCAATAACGAAATAAACATGTCACGGCCTAAGGCTTTTGCCCAATCCCGATTGGGTCTACGCTTAAAATCAACTTGTGAATTGCCCACTTTATGAGTTGGGCTATCCTACAAGTCAAGTTGAACTGGGTTCTAGCCCATTAGCCTACAACAGTCCATAAATAGGAAATCATAATCATATTCTATTTCCTCTTCTGCTCAGATTTATAATCTTACTTAAACTATTAAACTTAATTTGATAAAGTCAAGAAACCATATTTCTTTCTTGAGAGGGATTATCTCCCAAAAAAGAGGACTTAGTGTCCTACTAGGATTCCAATCCCTTGGGTTCACTATAAAAACATAGGCTTGCCCTCTCATCATGCATGCAATCTCCCATAGTCAATCTACTCTACTCAAAACCATCTATTTGCTCTTGAAGTTCTTGCTCCCAAGAACCAGACGCCTCGCCGTAGTCCTAGCCTTCGACAAGACTCTTGGTAATTCTTCATCTCCTTAATTCTTATTAAATAATCTCTTTCAGCCTTGTTGACTTGAGCATCGGAGTGCCTACAGCAAACACCACCTCGGTGTTTTCTGTAAGCTTCATGCTTGTCCTTTCATGTGTGCAGGTCTAGCAGATTGTTAGTGGTCTCAACCTCACGAGATCAAACCCTATTTTCATGACGGTAGATTTTTTGCATTTACAATTATTGTATAAACTTAGGGGCTGTTTGGTCGGAGGTTATATAAGATTACTCCAATAATGTCATCGTATATTATTAACATTACCATGTTTGGTTATCAAGTAATATAAAGTTCTCATAATCTTTAATATTCAATAATCATTGTTGGTTATATAGGTGGTAATCTGAATACCACCCATTTTTTAGGTTTCTCATATTACTTGGTAATCTTATTTTTATTATAATTTTACCCCTAACTATTAAAACTCTTGGACAAGAATGCCCTTGGTTTGAAAACAATTTACATGAACCTACCATAACCACCTTAGCCACCCAAGAGGACTGTTGACTGCCGCTAGCAGTCACTAGAATGGTGAACTTATTGGCCAATCGTTCGCCAAATTAGCCTTTTCTAACCAAATATCCATGTCAGATTTGGCCAAAAACGGCATGGATGTGGCCGAAAATGGTCATTTCCAGTCAGATCCATGCGCACGATCGGCCAGAGCTGGTTGATCACCGTTACGCCGACTGTCGACAAAGGCCAAAAGTGGTGGGCGGCAATCGATGGTGATGGGATGGTGGCTGGGGTGTTTTTTTTTTAATTTTAAACTTTTTTGGTGGCTAGAATGATAAAATACAAATTAATAATAATATTAAAATATAAGGGCAATTTAGTAAAAGGATCCCCCCAAAAATATTTTATTCCTTTCAACCAAACATATCAATATAAGATACCCATCAATTTAATCCTATCTCGGGTAAGGCTAGAGGTACAAAGAAATTTACAAAGATTTTTTGTATAAAGTGATGTGACAAGGAGATGAATGGAAGAGTGAATATGATGACTTTGACTTTTTTTCATTTACTTTTCCATTCATCTCCTGCCACATCACTTTGTACAATAAATCTTTGTAAATTTCTTTGTACATCTAGCATTATTGTAAAAATAAAAAGAGTAATGCTACACCCACAACCTCTTCTCACAAACTTTTTCTCACAATCTCGACATGACACCCACAATTGGTCAGTCGTAATTTATCAGGTGGAATCTATTACAAGCTGCCACATCGAAGTTGTGAGAGAAAGTTTATGAGAACAGGTTATAAGTATAACATTTTCCAAATAAAAATTGTGAAAAGGATTGGTAAAGCTAGCTCTTATGTTTATGTTTTGCTTTTTTCTCTTATTGGAATTTGGACATGCTCACATGGATTGTTGGGTAGATGTTTCTCCATATTATATTGAATTATTGAGTCATTTGGGTTTAATTATCTGAAATTATGTAATAGGACTAATTAATGCAAGTAATTGCTAGTTAGTTGACTTGAGCCAAATTCGGTTTGCCTTTATCAAGTCTTCCCCTCTTTTATCAACTTTCCAGTATAAAGAGATGAGACTTTGAACCAAGTAATAATAGATAGGCAAAAAGCAAAAGGAAATTAATCACTGATTTTTTATTTTTCATTTTTTCTCTTTTTCCAAATATATCGTCCATATATTAAAATCAAACAATAAAGCAAGAATTCGATGGGAATTCAATGGGACAGCCTCAGAAAATGAAGGTTAGTATAAAAAGAAAATAGTAGTTATCCTCAATTATTAGGATTCATTCATAACAGTTTAATTACGTATGATACTTATCCGAGATATTGATATTTTGGAAATAGTTTTGGAAATGTGGTAACATTAATCCATGTGTAAAATGTATCATATCATGCATAAACATAGAGTTGGGCAGAAAGCTCGAGCCCAAGGATTGGTCTCGGGCCCTAAGGAGGGGTGACCGGGCCCAGGCTAGTCCCTCACCCAAGGCCCAAGCCTGGGATCGATCCTAGACCTAGGTCTAGTTAATTTCAAAATACCCCTTACAAAATAACCAAAACCCCCTTATAATTTGAAATACATAATAAATTTAGGGGTTAACATGTAATTAAAACCATTATAAATTTATAACCATTCATCTATATTTATTTACTAATTAATCAAAAATTTAAAAATCACCCCTTGATAAATTACAAAAACCCCTTACATAATTATTATTACCCCCAAATATATAAACAATTAGGGGGCTAAATGGATAGTTACTAGGCTCACATAGGACTGGTACCGGTCATTGAGAGCCTAGGCTTGGGACCACTCGGGCCCAACTTTGCCCACCTCTACATATACATGAAACAGGTGACTCTATATAAGTTGCACTACATCCGGCCAAGAAAAA